TCCAAACATTGTAAGACACTTTTACAGGAGCGAAAAAGGACTTCACAAAGGCATTGAAATGTATTGAGTCGGCTTCAATACATTCCAATATAGGAAACATTGTTTCACTCAACGATGTTTCCTATGGGGATTTTCACTCAGCGATGGCAACCCGTTCCAATTGGAACGGATTAACCGGTTTTCAATGCATTCCTATGTGAAATGGTGTTTCACAGAACGATGTTTCACACAACGTTGATTTTTTTTGGAACCAATTAACATCGTTGTGTGAGGCACCACTGTAAATTTATGTAACCTAACAACAGTACTGTCTAATGTGAAGATCATGGCTAGTTTCATCACAATGACAATGAGACATGCCGCAGAATCTATTTTCATGGTATCCAAAAAACCAAAAGGCAATGTTCTTACACCCCATCCTAATAATTTATTTATTTAAATCATTTTTATCCTATTCTTCAAGTGAAAAGTTACAGATTGGATAAACCACCGGGGGAGGGGGGAAGATCCTTTCCTTGGTTTTTACAGTATATGTTGCTTGTGTTAAGACTCTAATAATGACTGTGGTTGCAAAATCCCTTCTTTCGTTCTTACCTCTTCTCTGAGTTACATCAGAAGGTAAACTGGAAAATGACTTTGTCTGACTGAAACCAGCTTTGGCAGCCACCATTTTCCTTGTAGCTTGACAACTTCCATGGTAACTACCAAGAAATATGTATCACATTTCAACAATTTACAATGATAATTTCAGAAATATAGGCTTGTAACATTATAACAACATTGTGTCCGTACAGACAGCTGTCACAGCTGTCTTCAGAGCACTCATTTTCCAAATAGGCTCCCAAAGAACCAGTTATTTTAGTGATGGACTTAACTTTAGAAGGGTTTGGAAGCAGAGGAGTGTGTCTTACATTATCTCACTTTATTTGCCCATATAGCTCAGTGTCTTCTACATTCATCTAGTATCTTTCTAGGATCTCAGCCAGTGTTTTCTTTTTCCCAAACAGATCTTTTTAGCTACAGAGGGAAGTTACCTTGACTAAACCTGGGATATTCCACATGTAAAAGCATATACTCTACTAGCTATGGCCTCCTTTTCTAGCCATGACAGTGATACAGATGAGTCCACAAAAATCTTCATATAACAAAAGTTCAAAAGGGCAGCAGTATGCTATATTAAAATGGGACCCAAGTTTGCATATGTATGCTGAACTCTTCTCCAGTGCTGCCTTTGAAAAGTGCACACAAAGACACAAGTACAGAAAAATGAACATGCATTTATAATAATGTGGAAGTTAGCTCTAAGACTACTAAAAATGAAGAGTGTGAAGATGCAGATACAAGGAAGACTGAAACAAAAGACTGACTTGGAACAGTCCTTCAACTTTCAAAAATAATGCTGTGCATAAGCAGTTCTTGTTGGATTGAATATAGTATTTGAAAATGAGAAAGTGAAGCCTCTCTTTCAATTAAATGTTTTTAGGGGGTTTGGTCTTCTGCTTTCCTCCCTCCTGGATTTTGTATGCATGGGGCACTTAATGAACCAGTTTGGTTTTGTTTTATTCTCTTTATGCCAATAAAGGTGTCTGTCTGTCTAGTATTGGAAATGTTCTTCCTGTCCTTTTTGCAAAATAAAATTGTGAGCTTTAGACCATGAATCCTGCCTGCTGTGGCAAATCAGCATTTTCATTTTCCATGTTGCATAGGTTCAAGAAACATATCTTCTGCTTGCTTGCTTCAATAATTCTTCTGTATTTGTCTCTGCTAATTGTACTGATCCATTCGTATAAACAAATACAATTTCTCTATTATTTATTTATTTATTTGACTTTTCTACCACCCGTTTGGCTGCCAGGGTTACTCCGGGTGGTTTAGAATAAAAAAAGACTGATAAACTATAATAAAAACAGTGAGCATAATATCAAAAACAAAATTAGAATCACCTAACATAAACTAGTAACAAAGTAAAAACTAAAACGTAATAGGTGAGTTTAAAAACAAGATGGTGGAATACTCATCTGCTTAGGTACAATTGCAATTGTTTTCCTGCAAATATGTTCTGTTATTAACTCAATGCTGGCCACCTGACAGCTCGCAGTGAAGATTCTGCATGGCACTTTGCAGATAAAGTTGTTTGTATATGCTCTGCTATAATTGACACAGGTCCTATAGATGTAACTTTGGTCCTTATTTGTCATTTGAGAATGGATACCTTTGTTTCTGTTGTCTGATGATGTGGACAGGATCCATGGAGAGCTGAAGGCCGCCACTTGGGTGCTGGACCCTTGCTCTTCCTGACTTATAAAAGCACTAAGGGGAGAACTGACTGAAGGGGAAGGAGAGTAATGAATGCCTAAATGAGGCAGTAGTAGGAACCCCATTAATAACATCTGATTTTACTGCTATGACATGCACCTTAGTTGCAACACGCTCTACGTGGTCTTGACTCTGAAGAAACTTCAGTTGGTTCAAAATACTGCAGCCAGACTGCTGACTGGCACTGGTTACAGGAAGCACATAACTCACCTATTACAACAGCTTCACGGACTGTCAGTCTGGATGCAATTCAATATGCTGGTTATGACTTAAATAGACCCAAATGGCTTGGGTCCTAGCTATGTGAAGGGCCATATCATTCACTCTTAAACTTTTAAGATCTTCTAGGGAGGCCCTTCTCCAACTTCCAACACCTTCATAGGTTCATTTGGTGATGATACTAAATAAGGCCTTCTCAGTGGCTGTTGCCACGCTTTGCAGTGCACTGCCCTGACAAGCCAAATGGTCCCCTCCCTCTCGGCCTTTCATTATTAGACAAAAGATTCCCTTCTCAGGCAGGAAGAGATGAGTGGGCATTTAGGAATGCTGTATCTACTGAATTCAGAGATTTTAAAAATGTTTAATAATGTTTTTATGGGTGGTTTCTACTGTTGTTACATGTTTAATTGTTTTTAATGTTGTTTGTTTCAGCATTTTTAATTATGATTATTATGAAGTTTTAACTCCCTACCCGGGGGGGTGGACAGGCCATATAAATAGAATGAATAAATGAATCTTTTGATTACATGTACACAGAAATGCATTGTCAAGCTGGCAAATCTGAAGTTGAGCTCAGAGCACTGAAGGTAAAGCCTGTCTTAGAAATTTATTTAAATGTATTTATTTAAAGTATTTTACCCCCCTTGCTCCTTAAAATGATCCAATACTTTACCTTCTAGCAGAAGCTATATGTGGTCGCTTGAAATCATGTGGTGATGTTATTTTAGGCATCTGTTTATAGTCACTGGAAGGAAGCTGGACTGTGTCAGACAGCAGCTCGTGCATCAGGACGAGGGCTTCAGAGACTCTATGATTATGATGCTCAGAAAACAAGGCCCTTAAGGAGTATTTAAAAAAAACTTATTAATCACCACCATTGTGATGGAATCAATCAGTCTATTGTTTAAGATCATCTTCAGCCCCTGTCGTCCCCCTCTGACACACCCTTCCTGCATACAGTTTTAAACTCCCTGCAAAGAACTATAAATGAATTCACCTAAAGAAGTATAATTGGACACATGAAAGTTTATGAAAAATAAAAAGCTAATCAGTCATTAAAGTGCTACAAGACCTCTTGCTTCTCTTTTGCTACAAACTGACTAATATTGCTGCCAGCTGCAATGATTATTAAACTATTTTTCATTCTTTTTAAAAAAGCTCTGCAGAACTCTGTTTCTTTACTGACCTATCCTCTTGATTACTAGTGAAACCTAAGCATGTCTTATTGGGAGAACAATAATTCATCATTCATAATCTTTCTTTTGGTTGCAGGTACTTGGCACATTTGAGTGACCATGTATTGTTACTTGACATCTTGGACTTGATGCCTGCTATTGTCAGCAGGGACTCTGGGTTTGTCTGCTTTTGCTAACAGCCACCCCTAAATCTTAACCTCCTCACACCTAGTGAAGTCACCTGGGTTAGTGAAGTGTAAGAAGGGGAAACATGGCTATTTTGATCCCTTATTTCAAACATCAGAGCCAGATTTGGAAGTGTTCAACGATAAATTGTTTATTCCTTATTGTTCATTGTTTAATGTCTATTCCTGTATATTTTCATTTTTTGTTATATGTATATGTATTTTTACCTGTCTGGAAGCCGCCTAGAGTGGTCGTATTGACCAGATAGGCGGGGTACAAATAGAACAAACAAACAAACAAACAAAACAAACACAGGAGGCAAAGGACAAAGGTGTCTCACAGATTTATTAAGTCCCTGATTCACCACCATGGCCCAGGCTGCTCTAGAGACTGGTAGCTTTCCTGCCCCTATTAATGGAATCTCCCATCTCAGCACTTGGTAGGATAAAGCAGTTGCCTGACTGCATTCCCTCCAGTAATGTCCAAGCTATCAAATAAATATTTCTGATGGGCAGATGTGGCACCAGCCACCAGAACTAAGAGCTCATCGGAAACATTCCTTCCAAGCATCCTTAGTAATACAGTTACCTTCATCGTCTTGGTTATCATGAGGCTATCACCTGCAATCTATTTTTGAGATATTAAAATTACAAACATACTGCATAGAACTCATCTTGAAGGTACTGATTAAAGCACAGTTATTCTCACACCCCATCCTATGCCTGGGATTCATCACCAGTGGGACAGTGATATCCAGCATCAAGATAATGGCTAGTAATATCAGCCAAGGAGCCAATATTCCTTGATTCTACTACCCCTCACTATGATCACTGTCCTCACAACCAGAGGACAATTTCTGGGGTTTGAAGACCATCTGACTTGAGCTCTCACTTTGTCAGATTGTAGAGCCATGATGTTGTGTTCATTTAGTTTCTTTATCTGGTCCAGAGAACCATAAATCAATATGATATCTGTGCCCATGGATGTCTTTGATGTCCTCCCTAGATCAGACCATTGAGAAATAGGCCCTTCTGAAGATGTGTGCCCTTATGTGGAGCAACACTGCAGTCAGTCTTTATTGGGTTGCAGTCAGCAACCCAGTTTTTCAAACTATGCTCTCTAATCTAGCTACTCCCTCTTTGCTTTAGGTTATCCAGTATTATGGAAGAAGCTGTCTTCTATGCCCTCCACTTCCAAGACTGCTCCACCATCATCCCAAGCACTGCAGAGTTCCCAATGTCTGTTTGTATCTCTCAAATTCAAGGCTTCCTCTGGGCATAAGTTGGCTGATATCACTGAACAGTACCTACAATCCCCATCCAGATCACCTCAAGTGTGCCCTTTTACTTCAGGGTAACCAGACGTATCAGGAATCTGCTCTTTTCCTCTTGTGAGACCAAATCATACAGGCATGTCACTATATGAAGCACAGCCAATATCACGGCTAAAAAATATTGTAAATAATAATGGCAAATCAGGGCTTTTTCTTCTTCATTCTGTTTCTGAAGACTGTTTCTCCCCCACCCCCCCAAAAAATCATCAGGTCTAGTGTTTTGTATCGATCCTTCAGACAGAAGGAGGAAGGCAGAAGAAAGTCTTCATTTGGTTATCATATCAGTTATTGACAGCCCACTGAATGGTATATGGCAGAACACCAGCAACATGTCCCTAATACTCCATAATTCCATATTTGCTTTCATATATAACAGAAACAAGAGAAAATTAAAAGACTAGAATGAGATGAAAAACAACTTACTTGTCTTTCTCCTCTTTCTTTTTCTGATGCATTTTAAAGTCCCGTGTTGAAAGTGCAAGATGCTGTACAAGAAATGCAAAGAGATATAAAAACTATCTTCTCTTTCACTCCTCAGTCAACTCTTCTTACCAACTCTCACAACTGCTTTCTTTAGCATTTTGCATCTAGGCCCCAAAATGCTACAGCCAGCAAGCAAGCAGGAATTCTGCAACTGGCTGCCTTGAATATTTCAGGCCAACAATCACATGATACAACTACATTTTCAAGCAAAAAACAAACAAACAAACAAACAAAAACAATGATAAGCACAATCCACTATAAATGTTCAGTCAACTGCTCTTCAAGAACTAACTGTAATTTGGTACAACAGCAGTCTTTTCATTATGGTCACTCCTGATAAGCACTCTGGCATGTCCAGAGCCCTATTTATCAAAATGAAAATGTATGTTACTTCTTTTCCCCTATATTAATACAGCTTATATAACTGCAATCCTAAAATAATGGCCCTCCAGCTACAGCCAGCTTGGGGGGGGAGGAGTTCAGTGCTAGTGCAGGCAGGCCCCCTCACCTAAGGCAGAAGGGTTGTTGGCCTTGAGGAAAACACCTGTGACAGAGGAGGGTGGAGGCCCCGGGCCCTCCCCAGGAAAACAGCTGTAGCCATGGCTGAGGTAGATATAGAGGGGACTGAGGAAGTTCCCATCTCCTTTGGAGAAGAAAGAGAATAATCTGTCAGGAACAGCTGTAGCCATGGCTGAGGTAGATATACAGGGGACTGAGGAAGGAGAGGGGGAGCAACCGGACATCTGGGAGTTCCCGTCTCCTCTGGAGAAGAAAGAAAATAATCTGTCGGGGGAGATGCCGAAAGGAGCTTCTCAGAGGCTGGTACCTCTGGAGGATGGTCGGCTCCGAGTGAGCAAGGGGAGGGGGAGGAACCGGATATCTGGGAGTTCTCATCACCTTTGGGGAAGAAAGAGAATAGGCTGCCAGAGTAGACACCGAAAGGAGCTTCTAAGAGTCTGGTAGCTCTGGAAGACTGTCGGTTCAACTTGAAGGCTGAAAGAAAGGAGCTCCAAGGGACAGCTGGTGCTGCACAGCCTCCTCCGCTTGCTGGATGCCACGCCAGGGGACTGGGCTGGCAAGGACTGTTTACCAGCCAGGACTTTTCAGCCAGGATGGCCTGCCACAGAAGTGTAGTAACTCCCAAGGAGCTGGGGGGGGGGCAGGGACAGAATATTTCCTGGGCCCTGGAAGGACTGGAATTATAGAAAGCTACCAGTTTATAGAAAGCTACCAGTTTCATCCTTGCTGCATTGAGTTGTGGCCTCCATCCTGCAAAGGACTACAGAGACACTGTTTTTTTTCTTTTCCTTTCTTTTTCTTTGTATGCTAAGTCCAATAAAGGTTAACTGATCATCAGAACGTGCTGCCTCACCATGGATACAGCGGCTGGGACTGCTCACAGCCTCTCTTACTATTTTTACACTCTTCCCTATTGAAGGCTCAAACCATTTGGCTGGCTACTGTGAGTCAATATACGAAACACTCTTTGTGCCTCCTCATCTAACCCCTTCTGTTCATCTGTAAGACCTGAATTATGTTTTTCTCTTGTTTTTCTCTGTATTAATGAACACCCTCTTCTTCCTTCCTTTGAGCTTCCTGTCTCCTCCTCATCCATAACCTAACCCATTGCCAACCATAAAAACCAAAACAGAAAATAAAACATTTAACAATAGAATCTAGTAATGAAAGCACAGAATCACAAAACCATAGAAACACTGAATTGTCAACCTGCTAGGACTTCTGGCTCGCGTGCCGGCAGAAAGGGCTCCGAGTGCCAACTCTGGCACGCGTGCCATAGGTTCGCCATCGCTGTGCTAGGAGGTTTTGGGAATGCTGTTGTTGCTCCAGTGAATCCAAATCACTGTACATGGAGAGCACCTGACACTCCTGGCCTCTAACAACTCAGAATGACTGCTGTGGAGAAGGCCTGACAGCGATTCTGTAGCTCCAAAACCACCACATGCTTTCTGATTGTCCTATTTCTCTTTGTCCCGTTTCTCCACATCCTTGCCTCCTGCACTTGGCATTCTTCTTCCACCTCAGAAGAATCTCTGCTCTATCGCTCTTCCAGGAAGTCATCTTAGCTCCAATCAAAAACAGTTCATTTTGTCCGATTAGCCAATGCAGTGTGGAGAGATGAGCATCAACTGCAAGTACTCCTTCAATGTTCATGTTTCTTGTTCTGTGCAACCATAACGTAGCATTTCTGCTCTCCCCCTCAAACACCTCCATAAAATGACCCATTTACTCTTTCTGGTCACAAGCTCTAAGGGACTCTGAGTGCAGCTATACAGTACATTGGGAACGGTTAGCTCCTCCCCAGTCAAACTAGTGACTCACTTATTCTTGGCATTCATTTCCTCTCAGCTGTCACCGTTCCCCCAGCATCATGTACTTGGAACAGAGCACATAACTGGAATAATGCAAAGAGCCTCAAACATAGAAGCAAATTAGACAATCACTACTCAGCCCTCCCTTACCCTCTCTTGTCTCTTCCACTAATCCCATGTGAAACATTCTCTTTACTCTTTCCATTCGCAAGCTCCTGGTCACCACCTATAGCTATATGTGTATGCCTGGCACCTACCTAGTGAACACCAGCACAAATAGGAAGGGTTTGGATTAATTCTGGAAAATGGCAAAGATTGGAGCTTTGGCTACATACCACAGCAGATGTGCAGCTTCTGAGAATGTCTGCTTACGAATAAACTCTGAGCTTCTGTAGTTGTAATGGGTTAAAGAATCAGGCTACAGAAGCACGCTCTGCCTCATTCCACCCCAACCGTACTTAAATGGGATTCCATAGCCAAGCACCCATTAGTAAACCGCTATGCCTGAACCAGTCCTTGACGCATTTTTCCTGGCTAATATCAAGTCAGAATCTAAATGCTGAAGTTCACTGCGGTCTTTCAGTTCTGAAAAGTACAAACTGCAGTAAAGAAACAACTGTGTTGTTCTCAGATATATTTCATTATCACATTGAAAGGGCTGCAACACCTAAGTGGAAACAGGCTTACCATATTCTTTCTCAAAGGGAAAGGACTGTGTTCCCTTGCCCTTCGTTCGGCCAGTGTTTGCATATATTCAGCTAGTCTTTCCTTTCGCTTTCTTTTCATCCAAGCTTGTAACTCTTTTTTATCTCTTTTTGTTTTACGCGAATATTTATTCATTTCACCTGAGAAACTGAAAAAAGAATGAAATGAAATGAAATAAAGAGGTGATGACACGTTACTTTGTACAACACAGTTAATACTCACTTTGGGGAAAACATTTAGAGCAAAATGTAAGGATAAGTGGCTGAAGGTTTGCAGCTTTGAAAGCAATGCAAAACTTCCAGAAATACAGAAGAACAATGAAAATGAAAGCCATTCTTTGGCATATAGCACCAGCATTAAGGTTGGTAATAACAACATTATGAAGAAAACCAAAATGGATATAAAACAGTCATAGTCATAAAAGTTAAATTTTTTTTTGCTAATTCTCATATTTTTACCCAAATGCTAGTTGTAATTGCTCCCTATGTGGAACCAGATTCTTAAGCATCAATCCATCCACGTTGCCAGAATCAGTACTGAAGGGGGCACAAACCGCCAAGCCAGTGATTTGTACCAGTTTGTTTTTCAGTCAAACAGATGTTCGGCATTTCCCAGCCCCGCCTCCTCCAGTGGGCCCACTCACAGGCAGGGCCCAAAGGACGTGGGGCAGGGAAGCCAGGGTGCTGCCTCTGAGTTGGGTGGCTGCCAGAGGAGGCAGGGCTAGGAAGTGCACAAACACCTTCAGCACACCCTTACTGAACAAGGGGTCTTCCAAGGCACTTTAGGGGAGCTTCTCCATTCAGAGTGGCTACTTCCTATGCATAGCTACAGCTGATGAGGAACACTTTCTATAAATGCCACATTACCTGGAGATTTTTTTAGCCTGGTTTTCTGTGAGACCTAGTTCTGAAGCCGATATACCACCCTCTGCTATGAGATCAGTAATGATGTCGGAAACACCACTCAATCCAGTCATCTGCAAGGGATCTGAAAAACTATGAAAAACAATTGTATTGCTTCAAACAGAAATAAATCAGATTTAAAGCAAATTGGGAGATAAAAACAGATGAAATTAATTAATTAAATTTATTTATTTAAAATATCAACTTTCTTCTTAAAAAGGACCCAAATCCGCTTACATCATTAAAAGGCAATAATTAAAGCTAAAAACCACAAATACACAAACACAAAAAAGGATCCAACAAATACCATTCTGAGAAATGGTAGACAAAAGCAATACGAAAAACAGTCAAAGCAGGAAGGCATAACAACCCCTCTAAAAATTCCACTCTTGCAGCCAGTTACTGAGGGAAAGCTTGCCTGAAGAGAAAAGTCTTTGCCTGTTTGCAGAAGGACAGCAAGAATGGGGCCAGCCTGGCCTCCTGTGGGAGGGAGTTCCAAAGTCTGGGAGCAGCCACAGAGAAGGCCCTCTCTTGTCAATAAACACAAGGTGGTGGGGCTGAGAGGAAGGCCTCTCTGAATAAACTTAACATCCAGGCAGGCACATAATGGGGGACATGCTCTTTGAGATACTTTGAATTCTGCAAATGCACCCCTGGCCACCACTGCAATCTGGGTGCTACCAGACTCAGAGACAAATCCAGGAGCACCTGAGTGCTCCTGGATATGATTGTATATGATTGCATATGTATATGATTGCATTTCCATTTCTATTTTAAACATTCCTACTAAACTGAACAGGACTGTCGATCGAACAATGTTCTTAACCCACTCCTTGATCAATCTCTTTAGCTTCACATGGTGTTTCTATTCAAAATGTGTTCAAAGCAGTTCACACTGAAGCAAGATTAAACTGATAGACTTAAACTAACACATTCTCATTGAAAAATAATCAGAAACAAAGAAACCAGTTTAGAATAACAGACATCAGTAATGTAAGTAGATAAAGCATTAAACGATTAGTTAACTGCTTAAAATAGAATATCCTTTGGTCTCACTCATTAGCAGAAACAAAAGAATATGGAATAAAAGCAGCAGAAAAAATATAGAGATTTGGCCCAGCTGCTGATGTCAGATGTAATTAGAAAGCGAATGGGAAAATACTTTTGTCTAAACTGTAAGCAGGGGCATCTCCTCTGGTGACAGCAGACAAAGCTGCAGCTATAGAAGAAGCACCCTTGACACACTGCAGAGACAGGCAGGGCCAGTCCCAAGCCCTGCTAGGAACAAAACAGATCATCCTCTGGTTTTTGAATGGTCAGGTCAGCAGCATCCCTATCCCTGAGATTTCAGGGCAAAACCACTAGGAGGGGAGACCGTTTGATTTTTATAGAAGCAAAGCAAGCATCAGTTGGAAGGGACAGAACAGCTTCTGAGCCGATTATAGAAATGCACATAAGGGAAGTAAATGGGCCTGGAACCCAGGTCAAGCCCTGCTTGACCAAGCCACGTGGAAACTTGGACCCTAGATTTAAAACACACACACACACACACCCAAATATTTTGGCTGGCAGCCTAGTGGCAAAATGTACCCGGTAGCTGCAGTAGTTGCCATCATTCTTACTATGAAGATACATCTTGTGTGGCATTATCTAAAGCACACATGATGTGGCTGTAGCATACAGTCTGATTAAGCCTGTTGAAATGCAATCCACCTGATTTTTAAATCTGCTGTTAGCTGGAAGACACAATTTGTTCTCCCTATGGTTTTTAAATAACCAGAACACACATTTGGACATACAGTATATCCATGTTAAGATTTGTGCATATGCTCATGGCAAGAAGGAAGGGAAATACATACATATTTCAGTTGTAATGTTAACTAAATATGTTCACACACATACCTCTCATCAAACTCCTCTGTTCTAAAATTAATATCTATAAAAGAAACACAGGATAACAAGTATGTCACAAGGAACAAATGTATAAAGTCAAGCTACAACCAACATGAAACAAATCAGATGCAGGGACTGTGGGTTGTCTTCATATGATAGAGGGAGTCTAGAGTCCTTGTGGTTGGTCAGGAACAGAACATAGCTGTCAAAGCAAGTGGCCCAGGAGGAGAGCCCATTCCACAGATGCCCTTCTCTAGGGTAAAACAGGGTTTTGTGGATGCCCATTTGAGCCTACAAGAATTATGAAGCTTCATACAGCTAAATTCAGTTTGACTACCTGCACAAATAATAGGCTAAATATACAGTTATTCTTAAATTTATTTTTCTTATTCTTACATATAAATCTTACATTTGCTCCAAAGAGTGTATGGGGGGCAAGGAGGGATTTGAACCAAATTTTTCTGATACAGTATTAATTTTATTTATTTGTTTGTTTGTTTCACTTTTCTACTGCCCACCTGGCTGCCACGGCCACTCTGGGCAGTTTACATGTTAAACAAATGTATCATCGAACCAGAATTTAAAACAATAAACATAGTTATAAAATCAAAGGGAAAAACACACACACACACACCCAACAAATTTAACTGAAAATAATTAAAATTATATGGGAGCAAGGCAGCCGGACTGATACTATAAGTGTTAAAACAACCACTGTACTAAGATGTTATAAGGTCCCGAACGGCCTAGCTAAAAAACCATGTTTTTAGCAATCATTTAAAAGTTCCCAGTGAAGGGGCGGGTATATTTCAGGGTAGAAGGGTTGTTCCAGAGTTGGGGAGTGAGAAGGCTAGGCTTCTAGTTTTCTCTTTCTCTCAAGTGCAATACTTTCAACCGCTCAGCCTGGGAAGATATAAGACAAGCAGATCTCGTCGGACGGAGGTATTCTGCTAAATATCGAGGTCCCAAACTGTTTAGGGTTTGAAAATCAGCACCATCACAATGAAGCTGGCATGGAAATAAACAGGTGACCAGTGCAGGCTGGCCAGAATAGGGGAAATATGTTAGTATTTCTTTACACCAGTCTGTAGCAGCCTCACAGGCAGCCCCATGTAGAAAGCATTGCAGTAGTCTATCCGATATACTGCACTGCCTCCTGCCACTTCTGATTTTCTTAAAATGTGTCACTAACACCATATTTATAGAACTACTAACAAGAACAAATAAGGAATGATACCAGAAGATGACTTTTTGATCCGGAGAGTAGCAGCTGATGCTGAAGGAGAAACAGAGGGTGTTCGCGAGTCAATGTAAATTGCCTGAAAAGATTCACATTCCAAGCTGCCGCCTTCCGCAGAATTCTCCATAATCTCATGGATTGAGTAACGTTCTGTTTCAACGGAAGGATAATTGAAACTAAGGGAGTGTGAATTAACTTGGAAGAATTATAATAGCTATGTTCAGAAACAAGAAATTGTGTGGGGCTCAAAGCCTGTGTGTGATGGCATGGGGAAAGTGGTAAGCTTATTCCCCCGCTCCCATGCCTCTAAAAAGGCAAAGCATAAAGATAAAGGTCATTACGCTTTGAATAACGACCTTTGTATGTTCAGTGGGATAGCCTGCACGATTTCCAAATGGGGCAATAGCATGGGGGGCAGGGAACTTACATACAAGCCTCATTTTCACTTTTGGGCCCTACATGCTTTTGGATTTAACACCTGAACAAAGCTGATATAAACAGGTGCCCAAACTGTTCTGAAGGAACTGCAATCCCTTTAAATAATGTTGTGGGAAGCTTACTGATCCCGAACTTCATCTGACAAGCCAGCTGCAAATTTGTCTGGATGGATAATGCCTGGCCAGTTCTGGTTACTTCTACATAACTGCTGTCTTTGAAAAAGTGCAGAAGTTGCAGCACATCATAATTATCGGCTGGGTCTAGAAGATTCAGACTGTGGAGTGCTTTACCAAGTACAGTAAATCCCAGACTTAACACAAAGTGTGCTGTTCCTAACCTTTAAATGCCTCAATGGCTTGGGACAAATGTATCCAAAACATTACATTCTCCCACACATATTAAGCAAAGCATCTAGATCTGCTTCCGAGACTTTGCTTCAGAAGTCCTCACCAAATGAAACATGACCAGTTACTACCAAGGAGAGAGCCTTCAAGATGGGAACATACTAGTGCTCGTCTGACACTTTCTTTGGCACCAAATATACATTTTAAAATTCACCCATTCCTTTTAAGACCCAAGAGTTCACCGCATGCTGGGGACAGTTACTCTTAATGTCCCTGATGTCACCCAGGAAGGCCAGATACACCCACCTTCTTTGGTAACCTTAACGCCTGGAGCAAGGAATAACATGTCATCCTTTCCTGGATCAGCTATTACACCTATATCTTCTATGGTTTCGACCAGCTGGAAAACAAAGATGTCATTCTTTTAACACTGATATTTAACACAGATATTTGTAGCAGCAACAAATACCATTAAATTATTCTTATGATAATGTAAGGGTATCTTTTTTCCAGCAAGTGTTTCTCATTTAATAAATAAATGCAGTGTCTCCAATCTAAGTTTGTAGGGGGTGTCCAGTATTTGTGAGCTGTGTAGCGGGGGGGGGGGATGCAGAAGGGACGACAACCAATACAAAGGTGGTCTAGAAACTCTCTGCACATCAACAAAAAGAAACCTTCCAATTGGATGACAACATTAGTTTCTGTGTTGGTACATGAGAATCTCTTTGCTTGGCTAGACCAAAGTAGCTTTTTGTTTAATTGTAGAAAGGCTGCCTCTAAGGGCACAAAAGTGAAGACTGCAAAGTTTCAAAAAAACCCTTTACCAAGTGGCAACCCAGCACATTTTAAAAAAGGGGGACATTATTTTGGCAGGTGTGCTGATATAGCCACCCTACTGGGAAGTGCCAGGCTGTTGTGTACTCTGCAGGCTTGCAATGCAGTAAGAAGGACTGAGTTGGAGGTTCTCTCACAGGAAGAGAGAAATGAAACACTACACATTTCAGGAGAATAAAGCGAGTCATTGCCATTTCCAGATTTACTTGCTTTTTGTGTACATGTTTCTATCCCTTACAAAATGGCAACCCTTACCAAAATTCTAAATATTTACACATTAAACTATAGTAACTGTCAAATGCAGCTAATTATTACCTTTATCTGGGACATCTTTTATCCCAATACCTAAGCAGTAAGTGATTTTTCCATGCATGGAAAGCTCATATAATATCTTCAATATATTTTATCCACTTTGGTTAAGACTATGTACACAATATTGTACTGAAACCATTTCACTATCAGAAATCCCATAGGTGCAAAAAAGATGAAACTGACTGCCTTATTACTTATTATTACGATACTTAAACATTGTCTTATTTAAAGAAGAGGAAGCTTTGCAGAAGAGAAAAGGTGTACATGTACCAATTTAGTATTATGAAATTCTTTCTCCATTCTGTCTGCCACATTCTGTAGAGTTAATAGTTGTCTGTCCATTTCCTGGAGTTTAGCAGAAAGGCGCTCTTTGCTAATTTTTTTGGCTGACAGTTCTGTGGAGGAGTTAATGCTGAAATCTTTACGTAGGAGGCACAGAGTTAGGGGATCATGAGCAATTTCTGCCTCTCCAGTCTCTGGTAGCACTTGCTGTGATTCGGTTTGAAAAGCATTTCCTTCAAATAAATAAATAAAAATAAGATAAATGTTTACCCATTCTGCAATGTGGAATGTTTAAAAGGCTTTAAAAACTCTCCTATGACATTTTAGAAGATCCTTTCTCATGTATTCCTAAGTTGTCTGTCCATTTCCTGGAGTTTAGCAGAAAGGCGCTCTTTGCTAATTTTTTTGGCTGACAGTTCTGTGGAGGAGTTAATGCTGAAATCTTTACGTAGGAGGCACAGAGTTAGGGGATCATGAGCAATTTCTGCCTCTCCAGTCTCTGGTAGCACTTGCTGTGATTCGGTTTGAAAAGCATTTCCTTCAAATAAATAAATAAATAAAAGATAAATGTTTATCCATTTTGCAATGTGGAATGTTTAAAAGGCTTTAAAAACTCTCCTACGGCATTTTAGAAGATCCTTTCTCATGCATTCCTAATAAAAGTAACCTAACACTATAAAAATCTGCTAAGACCAGAAAGAGACTTTGGAAGGGAGGGTTTGAAAAACGTTCATTTCTTCACAATGAACCTCAGTTTCAAGGATAGAAGGAGTGAGATTTAAAAGCTAACATTAAAAAAAAAGATGATCACCTTGTTTCTCAAATTCTTCAGGTGAAATTACGTTAGTAACAGATGCTGTCGTGTGGTGCTGTTTTGCAGAAGTTGGGAGTTCAGTCTTCACAGCTTGTGTAGGAATACATTTTGGAGGAGACTCCGATACATCTGGCAGATTTTTCAGATCACCACCATTTTCTATGTCAATCACACTGATATATTTCTGTCCAATCTGAACCAGATTAAAAACATTTTAAAGGCAGTAAGCAATAATAAATTACCACTTATTTATACACAAGTTGCAGAACTGACTCTCCTTTCCCATAGCTAGCCCATTAACAAGACAGGCATAACCTACTACAGTATCTGGCGTTGATGAAATGTCACAGAATGTTTCTGATTACTGACCAAATCAGATACGACATCAGACGAGGTGGATGGCAAAGGCTTCTCTGCAGCTTCCGTGGGGAATGTGAGGTTCCAGTACAGATCTGGTGGCAATGTCTGAGGAACACCTGAAGGCAATGGTTCTGTTAGGGGGAAAAAGGAAACTGTTAAAAGTTGCAACGGGCAGTAAGTGTGATGAAAGGCTGGAAAACCCATTCAACAGCATTGGAAAAGGTGCAAAAACACCAAGCATCCCAAATTTAAACATAGCCATGGGAGCAGTTCAGTGAGAAACCATGTATCTATGACATACACTGCACTCTCTCTGTGCACCTTTCCCCATCTTGACCTTTCCACACTCCTTCCAGTGCTGTATCCTCCTAGATCTCTCCAGAGTTATGCTGATTACACTGGGATATAACACTGGGAGCTACATTGTGGGTGAGGCCTCTGGAAGGCTAGTCAGAATAGGCAAATAAACCTGCGTCTTGTGAATGAAGGAGAAGGTTGGTCGGTCTGGATTTTCCCTCTGCTGGTCTGCTCCAGGAGATGGGATATCTAGTACATGCACGGTCACTTTAATGGGTTGTGTTTTGGTCTTGGTTCTGGCTTTGCTTGAGCTGAAACGTTTCTCAGCATCACGGAGGAGAAGAGAGAAGTTAAGGAAAAAATAATGAAAAAGAGTCTATGTTTACAAATAAATTACTGAAGAAGAATATGATGGAGGAACAGTTAAGAGGAAAGAAAATGTGGAATTGAGATCTGAGGAAAGCAGGAAAAGGTTCGAGGTGCCAGAAGAGTAAGGCAGAACAAGACACAACCCTTGAGGCAGAGATGGATTCATGTTTCTAGAAGGATTTCAGGCTTGATAAATCAAGCATTTTTATCACAATGATAATTTCAGTGCTACTCAAATAGGGCTAAGGGACTTACATTACATCACTTCTGGCTTTCTGCATCACGATTTAACTGAAAATGGAAAAGGTATTTTCTCACAATGTCAAAACTTACACTTAATAGCCCAGCAAAAAGTGCTGTATTTCAAAAAGCTATAGATTTGTTGTGGCATTTTTTGTTCTGGCTGGGAGGGGGGGAACTCTGTACATGGTAAGTGGCTGAAACCAGAGACACTGTCTACAGCTATTCAGATGACAACACCAGAGAAAAAGATACAAAAAGTATAATTTGTTGTGGATTCTGCAACAAAAATTGTCCTAGGGTTGTCCATGAGGGTCAAGAAAATGTCAGCTTAAAAAAGCAAAAGGACACGGAAACTTCCATAAATAGATCTGAGAGGAAACTCACCTTTCTCGGATGCAGAAGGAGAAGCGACTGGTTCATTTTTACTAGGTTCAGAATTTATTTCTTCTGATACACCTTGCATATCCTGATGTGATTTAAAGCCTCAATAAAAAGAACCAAAAGCAATTAAAAAACAGACAAAGCATTATGTATTAAAGCTTATTCTTGTAGGCAAGATAAAAGAATTTGGCTTTAAGAAAACAACTGAGTCATTCAAATCTTAATATTAACTATAGATCAGATTTGGGTCCAGACTAGCCATTTCCATTAATTAAGAAGCTCTATCTCTTTATACAAGGGCTTGCAGTCTGATAGGACCTCCCTATCAGAGGGAAGGGGGAGGGTAAATTATCAGCTCCCTTCCTGCAGCCCTCTGTAGCAATTTTAAGAGACTAACCTTCTACTAGTCCCTCCAAATCTACAACTCAGATTTTGGGGAGGGAATGGGAACTCAGCAGTAAGTGCCTCTTCCCCTTCTATGAGAAAAGTCTTCCTAGAGTTGAACTTTGCTGATGGTAACTCTGATTGGTTCAAAATTGGGAAAGGAGCACGACAAGGCTGTATATTGTCCCCCTGCTTATTTAACTTATATGCAGAATACATCAAGCGAAAGGACTGGAGGAATCCCAAGTGGGAATTAAGATTGCCAGAAGAAATATCAACAACCTCAGATATGCAGATGATACCACTCTGATGGCAGAAAGTGAGTAGGAATTAAAGAACCTTGTAATGAGGGTGAAAGAGGAGAGCACAAAAAATGGCCTGAAGCTCAATATCAAAAAACCTAAGATCATGGCCACTGGTCCCATCACCTCTTGGCAAATAGAAAGGGAAGATATGGAGGCAGTGACAGATTTTACTTTCTTGGGCTCCATGATCACTGCAGATGGTGACTACAGCCACGAAATTAAAAGACGCCTGCTTCTTGGGAGGAAAGCATCTTTAAAAGCAGAGACATCACCTTGCCGACAAACGACCGCATAGTCAAAGCTATGGTTTTTCCTGTAGCGATGCATGGAAGTGAGAGCTGGACCATAAAGAAGGCTGACCACTGAAGAATTGATGCTTCTGCATTGTGGTGCTGGAGGAGACTCTTGAGAGTCCCCTGGACTGCAAGGAGACCAAACCTATCCATTCATGAGAAAAGAAGACTCCCTGGGAAAGACCCTGATGCTGGGAAAGTGTGAAGGCAAGAGAAGGGGACGACAGAGGACAAGATGAGTGGACAGTGTCATTGAAGCTACAGTGGACCCTTGACTTACGGAATTATTGGAACAGTGGCTGCAGGTCAAAAACTCCGTAGGTCCAGGGTCCATTTCTCATAGGAATGCACTGAAAACCATTTACTCCGTTCCAGCCAAAGAAAAAAAATCCCGGGCTTCCAAAGCTGCACCTGCTGCCCTCTGTCCTCGCTGCCCTCTGCCTCTCATCCCCATGGGGATGGGAGGCAGAGGAGAGCAGGGATGGGAGCCAGAGGGCAGCGGGGACAGCTTTGAATTTCCTGCCCTTTCCCCCTGCCTTTCATAGGTCGAAGCTCCGGCTGCAAGTTGAACCAAAATTTTGCTGCAGGAGCTTTTCGTGCCTCGAAATTTTCATAATTAGGGACCTTCGTATGTAGAGGGTCCACTGTACCAACATGAATTTGACCCAACTCCGGGAGGCAGTGGAAGACAGGAGCGCCTGGCATACTCTGGTCCATGGGGTCACAAAGACTTGGACATAACTTAACGACTAAACAATGACAAAACTCTGATTCCAATCCACCATCTGCACATGTTTAAAACATCAATACATACAGTAAACAAAGAGTGACAGAAAACACACCTGTTGCAGAGGCAGAAACAGAGAGAAGTGGTTGATTTATGCCTGTTTCATAAATAATGTCTTCTGAGAGAGTTTGTATATCCTGATGTGATGTAAGAACTTGATGGGTAAGAAAAGTAAAATAAGGAACAATTAATAGAAAAATACAATATTCTATACATTTATTAAAGGGGAGACCATTCTGGGGCAACATGGGAAATCTGATGTGAAAAAATAAATGTCAATTTTAGTTCAGCAAAATTATTCTTATTACAATTTCTCCTACAAAGTTCAAGTTGTAACACAATATGCACCCTTATCTGTGTGGGACTTATTTATATAGATGCAACACTGAAATACGCTATTAGGAGATTTTCTGAAGTTACTGTATCTTGGTAGAAAAAGATTTCATTTCAAAAGCTTAGAAAAGCAAAAGCACAACAGTTGTTTGTGGAGATAAGTATATATCTAGGTAAGCATTACCAGTCTCTGTGTTTGTGCTAGCATCTTGAAGTTCTGCTACTCTTTTTCTTACAGAAGCCAAATAATGTAGTTCTGCTACATTAACTGCATCTTGGTCTGAATGAGAGAAACACAATTACCAACAAAAAAAAAGAAAAAAAAGAAAAAAAGAAAAAAAGGAAAAAAAAGAAAATTATCTTGAGAGAAACACAATTACCAACAAAAAAAAAGAAAAAAAAGAAAATTATCTTAACACAGTAGTCACTAATGCAATATACAGTGGACCCTCTACTTAAGGAATTAATCCGTATTGGAATGGTGGCTGCAAGTTGAAAAGTCTGTAAGTCGAATCTCCATTGACCTACAATGCACTGAAAACCGATTAATCCCATAACCAGTGTTTTTTATTCTATTTTTATTCCATTTTGTTTTTTTTCTGGTCTGTAAGTCGATTCTCTGGCTGCAAGTCGAATCTAAATTTTGCAGCCAGAGAAGTCTGTAACTCGAAAAATCTGTAAGTCGAGCCATCTGTAAGTCGAGGGTCCACTGTATTGGTTGTTTATTTCTAATTGAGAAAACCAAATAGAATAAGAATCTTATTATTTAATAGACCCTTTTTATACGTATTTCTTAGAATTCATATTTAATAAAATAATATTTCAGTACCATCATTTGGTTGTCTCAGCCCATCTGGACCTGCTTGGCTGCAATAATTACAATATGAGGCATGTCATAAGACGTTTCCTATCCTTCTGAATTTCTGATTTGTGGTAACTGGTGAAAAATAATTATTAGATATTGCAGGAGCAGTGAAAACAGCATTCTGCAAGCCATTATTGATAGGAGAGAACCCTGTAGTCCATACACAAGACTGTAATTAGAAATGAGCGTGTATGGCTGGTTCAGCAATGCGACCATGTTCGTTTACTGCCACAAGAGGTGTTCAGTGGTTCAGCATCCCACCCCCTTTCTTTCAGTTTTGCTACAAATACTCACTGAGCAAGGAGTCACCATCACTGAAGCTATAGTTGAACGCTACTCCATTATCCTAATGTAACAATAAATATGATTAAATACTTGCAAGCAACATGCTTAAAAACAGTAACAATATTAGTTTACATGCAACATGACCTCCTCTCAACTAGTGCTCTTAAGAAGTCCTTGGAAGTGCTGCTAAGGGCACTTCACAATTCTCTCCCCTGTTGGAAAAGCAAACCAAACTGCAGGTAATGCCAGCCATGTGGGGAGGAGGAAAAGGGACACAGGGCTGGTTCCAGGCACACCTGCTGGACAGAAACGTATTCCTTCAGCAGGACCTCCATTATGTTAAGAGCATGGGCACAGAATTTGACAGGGGCAAGACCAAGCCTGCAATGGCATCTGGCTTTTGAAAAGCTTGGGGGAGCAGAATCTGCTTCCCTGCCCCATTCCAGTCCCCCAACCCTCAATCTAAATTTAAACAAATAGCTTAAGGGTGAAAGGAAGGTGTAAGGAAAATTGCCCCACTGCTCATACAGTATTTTCTGACGTCTATGATAACTCTAAAAAGATATAACCATTTTACAATATAATCAACAAGACTGTGATTATGACTGATCATTTTAATATCACTCTACCTTTGTTTGCTTCACAGTATCAACAGCATCATCTTGCTGAAAAGTCACAGCTGTCTTCTCTCTTTCTTTCTTCTCTCTGATCCGCCTCTCAGTCCGCCTCTTCTGCCTACCATCACATTAACATTTCAACAACATCCTGATTAAAACAGTATTTCTCTATTACCAGGTTAGTTATAATTAGTTATAAAAATTGTTAGTTATAAAAATCGATTATTCCAACACACAATCGCTGAAACCCACTGTATTGTAGTTTGTAGCGACTAGGTGTTACTGTCTGTACAGTACTTTGAGAACCACACCAGTCAGAATCCTGTTAGGTTATGCTAACTGGTCCACTGGCATAAATTTCAGAGGTAAAATGCTGTTTTATCTTCATATATTGCTCCTATTAGTTTTGTTTTCCAAGCTGCATATGTTAATTCACACATTTAAAAATGACTACTAGAACACAAATAAATTAATGCTAATAATACTAATTGAGAGAAGGCCAAGAGTCTCTTCTAAACAACAAAGGGAAATAACAATGACAATACAGAACAGACAGATACTCAGCTTGGTATCTGAAGGGAAAAAGTATCTTCTGCTGATGGCACACTAGAGCCAGCAAAGTCTTTGTGATTCTTTGGCAGAAGCAGGATAACTTAGGGCTCTGCCAGATTGAGCACCTACAGTATCCTCTAAGTACCAGGTTCTCCACTGATGTCCGCTCCTTTTCAAACCCTTAAAAGTATGCTATATTTCTCTGAACACTCAATTACGGGGGGAGGTCTATGGCACTTCCCACCATTAATATCAATGCACCACTGAACTTTAATGAGGAAAGACCCTGCTTTTTCTTTTGGGCACAGGAGATTTTCCTCATTTCCTCAAACTGAAGAGGAATGGTTAATGCTTTCTCCTATCCAAGTCAAATGTTTGCAGAGGCCTCCCCTTCCACCATCACTACCACTACTCTCTCAGGGGCTTACTGAAGGAAGGAGAAAGGCGAATCCTGAATAAGGCAGGGGCTGGTGGTGAAAAAACGAGTGGCAGAGACAAGATTTCAAGTTTGCCATCAGCCAAGAAGAAGAGTGGGTTTAGACCCCTTGTGCAAACTCGCATGGACACACATAAATCATAACTCTGTGAGGGCAAAAGCAGGGTGGGCTTGGAACGTGCATAGAAAAGGAAGATAGAAAAGGAATGAATGAAAAGCATACAGAGCAGTTGCATAAGCAAGCTGGTAACTTGCTTCTTCGTCTTAACAGGCCATGTGTGTGCAGTTTTTTGCAACCTGGAAAGCCTACTGAGATAATTGCTTGGTGATGCCCAGGTACGGGTCACCAAACGTTTAAAAAGGTGGCAAAACACGGCAGGGCAAACAACCATCTGGAAGGGCTCTTAGTTAATGTGGAAAAAGGCACACAGCCTTTTAGAGTCAGACATTGATTTCACCTTTCTATTTCTGTTGGGCACAAGAAAGCAATCTTCATACAATTAATTAGCAAGCAGAAATTCTATTTCCGCATCCTCCTTTAGCTATAGGGTTTTCTTTGTTCTTTTTGACTTATGATAGTCAGTATGTCAAAAAGGGTTACTGCTAGGTATGATTAAATTATGCTATAGCAGTACCATTTGTTCTTACCTTTTTTTACTATTCCTGTCTTGCCTTGCTTCTAGTGATTTAAGGTCAGCTTTCAAGAGCTGAATCTGTTCAGGATGATCTTTATGTCCCGTTTGTGGGGCCTGGGCAATGTGGCGGCTTTGCTCAAACACAATGAGATTTTGCAGTGGGATCAGCTTTGGTGTTTGGAACTGCTCAGGAAGGAAAAAGGATACAATTATGTCATAAAGAACATCTCCCTCCAAATTCCATGGTGTTTATTATAAATCAGAGTGTAAGTTCGGATAAAGACATTCACGTTCCACTAATGTTAAGTGGAAACAGCATCAAACAAAAGGAGTCATAATTATAAATGTGTAGTTAAATCTCATGTACTCATCTGAAAGTGAGTTATTTAAAAATAATAAAATACTAGGTGTACTTATAAAATCTATTACCTTAATGGGTGGAGATAAATTAGCATAAAGTAATGGTAATGCTGTCCGCCCACAGGGTTCTTTGAAATCTTTGTCTTTTCCTAGACATTTAACAGTTATTAATTCCGAAGGACGTTTGGACTGTGACCAGGGCTTCAGATACAGCAGGGGAAACGGAGTAAAATGTTCATACATTTTCTGCAGAAGAGTTTCATTGTCAGCCAGTGATTTCTCTCCCGTTAGATGTGCCTGAAAATGATGCAAAGATATGTCCTCTGTTTTTCTGTATCTATCCAAATGATCTTGCTTGGAAGTTTCCTTACTTAGAATTTCTACCTGGTTACTTGCCTGCTCTTGTGCTTGCTTTATAGCTCTGTGATCATAATTGTTCAAATTCAGGTGTGCTGTTGTTTCACTTTGAGGATTTTTCACAAAAGAAGCTTGTGCCCCCCAGCATTCTTTTCGTTGTGGCTGTGGTCCGATGAAAGCCCTAGGAGGTGTTACTGGGCAAACATTGAGCAGCTGGAACTCACACTGTGGCTTAAGTTTAAGCAAAGGAAGCCCATCTGCAGTATTTAAAGGTTTTGCCAGTGGGATAAGCTTTGGTTTCTTTTCATCCTTTAGACAGGTAGATAACAGAGGTAGCGGCCTAGCTGGAATCTGGTGAAGCAAGCTCTGAAATGGTGGAATTTGATTTTTTTCATTAGACTGGTTCTCTGGCAAGCCTGAAGAATCATTGGTCTGTGGAGGATTCTAAATGAGAGGCAAAAAAATCAACAATGTAAATTTTACACAATTAACAAGCAATGGTTTAAACAAAACTGTATGAATAATAACTTTTTATACTATAATACATGTATCTACCAGAACATATCCATTGTAGCTTTGTTGATCAAGTAAATTATCCTTTCCCTGAGGATTGATGTTTTTTGAACGAACATGAGAACTGTTTTCAAGGCTTGCCATCTGTGCTTTCAGAAAACCATCTGCTGGATGTCTTGGGGGAGACCTTGCTACATCAGTCCCTGCAATGTTTGGAGTCTGGCTTCTTTCCAACTGGAAAGGCTGTGACTGCTGCATCTGCTGTGAGATATTTGGCAGGTTGGCAAAGGATGCTCCCACTACTTGCATGAGGCTCATAAAGTTGATTTGCTGCAACTGGAACACAAACAGAATAGCAGAAATTAGGATCTGCTAAAACGCATCAGCTCTTTCTAGTTCTACAATTACCCTGTTGAAACAAGACAGCAAGAGAAATCCTATCCTATCCTAATAATCACACTTTTATTCTAATGCACTGAGACATCATTACGTACTTGCTGTCATCATGAAATCAGCTGCTGAGTAATACCACATACTATGCTGAATATCTGCAAATCTATGTACTATAATTTCACAAGCACAGTTTGGGTCTGTATAATTATTCTGAGTGGAGCTACTGAAGACGCAGATCTTCCAAACTAATGTATGAACAACTTTGTTAAGTTTTAATTAGAGGACCTCTTCTCAATCAAAGGGTCAACAGAAGGAGCATGGCGCTGTACAGAAGCTCGTCTCAAAATTATTTATTCATTTTTATTTATTTATTTTATTTATATCCCGCCTATCTAGTCAACTCAGGACTACTCTAGGCGGCTTATACCTAACTGCTGCGTAGAGTAGTAGGACTGTGCCCTCTGACCCCGATTCTAATCTACGTCTGCCCCTTTATAAAGCACCAGAAAAGACTACATCTGCAAACTATGTGGAGGTACGTTGCCAGGAGAAGCCCTAATCACAAAGTTTCAGGCCAAACATGCAGAGATCAGAGTTGAGTTGGAGACACAGCAGGCATGCACACCCTTTGGGTTCATCTTCCAAAGATAATACAACCAAAAAAGATGGCAGTGCCTGGAAATGCCTTCTGTGTCTGCCATGCAAGTCGCCTGTGATCCATATGCAAGTCACTCTAAGGCACAGATTCATATAATTCTGGGATGGGCAACTTTGGAGGCCCAGCATCTACCCCTCTGGATTTCAAAAAGCCTAGTCCCCCTCAATAATGCCTTCAACACCCTCCCAATTTTTTTAAGTTAAAAAGATGCTCTGCATCTTTTTCAAACATCTCCTGCTTTTTTCTCCCTGAGCCAGGAAGTGACTGGAGTAATTTCAAGTTTTGAAAAAAAGATAATGAATTAATACACAATATATAAACAAACAAGGAACAGCTTCCGCTACAGTGGTTCAGACATCTGCAGTTCAATCAATCGTAATAAACTCTTTTAACAGAGCTTCTGCTTCTATTATTCAAAATGAGACATCTTCACCTGAACCAGTTTGAACATTTCATCCTGAAGCATTTCCCTAACTGCATCTGAAATGTTTAATGGCTGTGCTGTTGGCTGTGATGCCGGCTCCCTTGCACCCATCTCTTCATTTTTTGGACCAGATGGATCGCTTGAAAGAGCACTTGACACAACAGTGAATGAAGGCTGATTATCTGAGACTGTGATCTCTTTGCTGCAAAGACAAAGGAGAAACAGTCACATCACAGAACTAGCACATTTTGAAAATTAATTCTGACCCCTTCTGCTAATTATACTTAGCATCATATAGAGGATTTCTTCTGATTTCCAACTACTTTCTGGATGTTGCCAAATCTATTTATTGGAATAGCATGATATGACCAACTGTTTGCTTTGCCTGACTGCTTTTTACACAAGGTGGATAAAAATGAATCATTTAAAAAATTGATTTAAATCACACTTTAATGTTTAAATTTTAAAAAAATTAGATCAAGTCCAGCGTTTTTACATGCAGTTTACAAAACAGACTGTTAATAATTTTTACAGTGATACTTTCGGGGTTTTCAAGGTATATAATACTTAAAAGTAGTTTACTGCTGGTGACATTCTAGAACCATGCAGTTTGCCCAAGGCTGCACAGATGACAGGGCATGCCATTCCCCACAGGCACACACTGCATGATCTCAACTACCCCCCCTTGCCCAAGGGACAGTGGGCATTCAAGCTCCTCACCCTTGGATCTGCAACCACATTCCTTAGACTACTGAGCTACACTAAATCAAAAAATGTACAAAACTATCTTTTAAAGGCTTCAGATTAAATCTCTGGTTAATCTTTGTTTATTTTTCTTTTAAAAAGATACTTCTGAATTATTACAATTTCATGAACATCCAAAAGTAAGGATATAAGAAGCATGCTGAATCAGACCAAAGATATATGTAATTCAGCATTCTGTTTACACAATGGTCAACTAGTTACCAACAGGAAGCCCATAAGCAGGATATGCAGCTCTTTCTACCTTGTGCTCCCCTGGCAACTTGGGCATTTTACATAAAATCTATGACCCTTCATACCAAAATGACATGTTAAAAGAGGATTAGGCCAAAGAAAATTAAGATGAACATGATTCCTGGTGGTAGTAGTGCTTCTGGAATAGTTAACAGTTCCTTGAATACCTACAGCTCATGAAATTAATACAATTAATTGGATAGTTTGTGCTTAAAATATGTGACCGGGCAGAACCATTTGGCCGTCACATGAATTCCTGGCTATGTAAAATGCTTATTAAAAGCCACCAACATTAGTACTCTGATGAGTAGTAGCTCAAATATAGGCAGTACCAGACACTGTACTACAAACTTATAAAGTATCCAGCATGGTTAACAACAGTAAAGCTGTTATAATTACTACGATTAAGACAACAAATGACTTTACGGACAGCAGACATGTAACAGGAAGATCAGCAACTTAGCTTCTTTTACCTAGTAGATTCTGTCTTCATTTCAGGACAAACTGAACAAGGAACATTGCTGGGAATTACTCTGCATGGAGGGCTGTAAATGCAGAAAGTGTGATACACTTAGTTTTTATCCAACACATTAATAATCTCTTGCGATGAATAAACATTATTAATTTTTAAAGAATTTTAACATAAAATTTCAAGCTGTATTACTTACAAAGCACAAGAATTAATCCTCCATCACACAATGATTTTTTTTCTTTCTAACTGTAAACAAACATTGTTACCTTGTTCATAACTTCTCTCTGTCTACAGGTGATCTCCATAGCAATTAGCAACTAACTCAAACAAAGTGTCTAGATTCCATATACAAATGTATTTAGCCTTCAAGAATAGCTATGTGAATAATAGAGATGAAACAATTTAATTTGTCCAATGAAAATACAGATAAAATCAGCATTATTAAGATGATGAAATAAAGCATTTCTAAAGACAAATATTTACATTGTTTTTCTGGATTAAAGGGCTGTCTTTAAAATGTCAGTAAAATCATATTTACAATGACTAAACTGTTAAGGATGACAACTAAGAGTACAGGAATAAACATGTTAAGAGAAATATAAAGTTGTTTTAAAAAAACAACTGTACTAAGGGATTTTCACTTTTGTTTGTTCAGGCCATATGAAATGCATAAGATCCACAGCTAGGGGTCCTCAACCTTTCTGGGGCTGGTGGGTACACTTGAAACTTAGAAAAAGTATTCCAGGGGCTCTTATAAAATAGTTGTATGTGTGTTGAGAGGTGGTTACCATTTGGGGCACATCAATCAGAAAATGCCAGTTTTTTTCAGAACGCAACATAATGAAGCTAGAATAAAAATTGCTAAGCAAATACAGTGGGGTCTTGACTTGAGAACTTAATCCGTATTGGAAGGCAGTTCTCAAGTCAAAAAGTTCTCAAGTCAAATCTGCATTTCCCATAGGAATGCATTGAGAAGCATTTAATCCGTATCTGCTCTTTTCCGTCCATAGAAACTAATGGGAAGCTGCTATTCCGCCTTCGACCACGGTGGTTACCATTTGGGGCACATCAATCAGAAAATGCCAGTTTTTTTCAGAACGCAACATAATGAAGCTAGAATAAAAATTCCTAAGCAAATAAGGCCTTTGAGTTCCAGAACAAACTGTTTTGAATCAGAAATTTTCTAGGGGTTTTTTCAGTTCTTAACTCAAATCTAAGTACTTAAGTCAAGTCAATATTTTCCTATGAGAGCGGTTCTTAAGTCAAAATGTTCTTAACTCAAGCCGTTCTTAAGTCAAGACCCCACTGTAAGGCCTTTGAGTTCCAAAACAAACTGTTTTGAATCAGGAATTTTCTGTTCCAAATCCCATTTTACAAAAGGCAACAGGATGGGGTTATAAAAATACACAGCCCTCTCCCTCCACACCCGGTCTCCCAAGCCCCAGACAAAAGACCTCACACTCAAAGAAGTCTACATACACATCCCCACGGCACATTCGGAACAGCTCCTTGCTTTTCACTGCCTTCTCTATTCTGCCCCAAATGGGAATTCTGTTGTCTATTATTATATTGTCTCTAGATGTGTAATAATAAGTATCATGCTTTACTTTTACAGATCTGATATTAACTGATCAGGTTTCATTACTGACTGTCCTTGGCGTTATCTCCTTTCCAAAGCCTGGCTTGACTATACAGCAGAACCCTCATATCCACAGGAGATCAGTTCCACGATCTACCATGGATGCTTGAAACTGCAGATACTAGGGAACCCTTTATACCAGGGGTCCCCAACCCCTGGTTCGCAGAGTGGTACCAGTCCATGGCCTTAGAAGGACCGGGCCACCGGGACAGCAGCACGGGGGGGAGTGGGGGAAGGGATCCCCCTCACTGTCCCTTCCACCCTGCAGACTCACCGGTGTTCCCCAAGCATTGTGGGCAAAACAGCAGGAGCGTGAAAAAGACAAGGGGCAAGGGGCATCCCAGCTGGGGCCGCTGCGTTGGGTCAGGAGAGGCGCCACCGGCAGCATCTTCCCAGAGGCCAGGGAGGCGGCAGCAGCGGCGGCAGCAGCATGCAGGTAAGGGCTGCTGTTGAGAACTCCTGCCAGGTGGCTTCATGGCTCATAGATTCAATGGCTCATAGATTCCCTTGGGTAAGGGCAGGTGGATTGGGGTGGCGGTGCTGAGGAAGAGGCGCCTCATCTCATTGGGGGAGAGGAGGGGCGGGGCGCTTGGGGCTGGGCCCTGGTGTCAAAAAGGTTGGAGACCACTGCCTTATACAACATACAAGGAAATAGGACAAAGGACATGAGGGAGCACCTTTCTATGTTGAGCATACGTCTGTGGCAAACCAGGGCTACGTGAAACTGTTGCTATTGTTCCCGCAGATAAGGGGTCCTATGATTACTGGCTAGTATCCTATTTCATAGCTATGCTGGTACAATGGGAGTGACATTGAAGAGCTCCCAGTTTGGTTCAGGATTGTGTGCTACCATGTTGGGTAGCTCAGTGAATTGGTTTTCTGGCTGTGGAGCCAGAAGTTGGGAATTCAGTTCCCCGCTATGCATCTCAGAAGAACCAGCCTGTGTGGCCTCGGGCAAGCTGTACAATCCCAGGATGTCCTCAGAAAATGGAAATTATAAACCACTTCTGAGTATTTTCTTTCTAGAAAACCCTGAAAAGAGTCGTCGTGGATGTCCTCAGAAAATGGAAATTATAAACCACTTCTGAGTATTCTCTTTCTAGAAAACCCTGAAAAGAGTTGTTGTAAGTCAAAATCCCCTTCTTGGATGCATACCTTAACCTAGTGAGGGGGCGTCAAAATTGACTTGATGGCACAAAATTATCCACTTCTTGGATGCATACCTTAACCCAGTGAGGGGTCTAAGTGTGGCACAGAAGCCCAGAGAAGTGCTGTCAGAAGGCTAGACTCCTGATGATCAATATCAATCACTCTTGTATGCATTCATAGATCCATAAATTACCACATAATGAATCACAACTACCTATGCACACACATATACTTTGTGATATAATTTCCCTCACCTCTCCAGCTTTGTAGCGTTTCCCTCCAAGGTCTTCACAAACACATCTTCCTGTGGGCACTGAACATCTGCTAGAGATTGATGCTGCAATTTAAAAAGATGTATTTAAGTGCATAAGGATGTGTAATCATACATTTGCTGGGGAGCAGATCATATTGTAATTATACTTTTGCTATACTTAACTTTATGACCTCATAAATATGATCGCATATTTATTCCTTTTATATTCTACTTTTCAGCCAATTACTGAACTTCCATAAACAGTAATCTGATTATTATAGACATATGCACACTTCTACAATTACAGCAATGATGTGATCTATTCATAACAGGACTTTCAGCTTAGAAAGTATAGCTGTTAGCTAATATTTTACATAAGAACATATAATGGGTTGAAAATAGACAGTCTATCTGTAGAAGACAGTTTGACCCTCATTATGTCAAACAGCATTCTGTTTCTTGATATCTTCTGTTATAGCCAGGAGAATGCCCATGTTTCATTTGTCCAGTGTCTCCAAGTAGAAGTTTTAAATTTTGCATCAATCTTCTGGCTTGGCTATTTTCCTGAACATGGTTTCCCATACCTGCAAATACAGCATGCCTCTTTTCTTTCTCACATAGACACTATTTTTTTCTCTCTCTCAATCTCTCTCACGTACACATACTGTTACTCTTCTCATTTCCCCACAGCCTTTTCCAACTCTGAAGATGGAAAGAGAATATCCAGGTCATGGGCTCATCAGGACCTTTGCAGGATGGACTGGAAGGCTTTATGAGCCCTATTTGGCCCATAAACTGGCATTTTTCTTTCCATCTACTAGACCATTTAAAATTATAAATCAAAAAGGCATATTGAGAGTGAGGTACACCCTCAAAGTATGGCAAGCCTACCAGTTGAACGCCTGGTTGGAAGAACAACATGAAACAGGCATCTCTTCAAACGGCCACAGCCACTTCAGCAAATTCTGTTTCATACAAAGTAATCTGAACAGGATAATGGCCTGCATCTTTTACAAATACTGGAGTGAAAAGACCTTAGTACTGGTAGCAACTTGCCTCTTTTTTCTGCTGTACCGATGTAATGCTGACAGAAATGGTAGGACTTCTTGAAACAGCAAATGGATCTTCACAGTAATCTTTAAAATGGAATGAAATTTTTTAAAAATTAAAAAGCTACAGTATTAAATAAATAATCCTGTTCCTTAGCACATCCTTTTGTTCCCTATCACTCTTGCCAAGTCTTTACATGCAAGCTGAAAGACCGATCTGCAAGAATCCTACTGAGGATTTATGCCTATGTAAGTGTAACTGCATACATCATGATGGTGAATTGCCACTAATTCACATTCTTCATTGTGTGCTTGGCACACTATAAGGGACATGAGAACCAATTTGTTAATTAACAGCATTGCACCTTTGTGCTTCTGCAGTTATACCACCATGAATCCCCAATAGGATTCTGACTGCTGTCTCCTAAGGCTATGATCCTATAATCACTTAAATGGGAGTAAATATCACCAAATTCAATAGGGTTTACTGCCCAAGTTAGCATATGTAAAATTACAGTGGACCCTCGACTTATAGACTGCTCCACTTAGTTACTGCCCAAGTTAGCATATGTAAAATTAAATTACAACATTGATAACAGTCCATTCATTCGTCTCTAGCCTCAGATGCGAAGAGGTTTGTTCCTGTTCTCAGGAGCTTTATAGTAATGTTCAACTCCTTTGGTAACAGGTGGAGTTTAAGGAGCTTGGCAAACGTAAAGTACACTGACCCTGGGCCAGTGACTTTTTCCAGTTATTAAAGTATGAAAGTATACATTACACAGAAACTGTAGGGTTTTGTTTTATTCTTGTTACACTAATACGACACACATAAATAGGTCTTAGCTACAGGAAGCTACAATATAACATTTACCACATACTTCTGTAAGTCAAGGGTCCACTGTAAATTACAACATTGATAACAGTCCAGTCATTGGTCTCTAGCCTCAGATGCGAAGAGGTTTGTTCCTGTTCTCAGGAGCTTTATAGTAATGTTCAGGTGGAGTTTAAGGAGCTTGGCAAGCGTAAAGTACACTTACCCTGGGCCAGTGACTTTTTCCAGTTATTAAAGTATGAAAGTATACATTACACAGAAACTGTAGGGTTTTGTTTTATTCTTGTTACACTAATACGACACACATAAATAGGTCTTAGCTACAGGAAGCTACAATATAACATTTGCCACATATCTCCAGCTTCATATACAGTGGTGCCTCGCAAGACAAGCGCCTCGTTTAACAACAAAACCGCATTACAACGAACTTTATGATGGTCTGAATGGGGTTTTTTCGCTTTGCGATGATCGGGAACCGATTCTGCCCTCCTGTCTTCCACTGCCTCCTAAAGTTGGATCAAATTCATGTTGGTAGCTTCAGTGACACTGTCCAACCATCTCATCCTCTATCATCTCCTTCTTCTCTTGCCTTCACACTTTCCCAACATCAGGGCATTTTCCAGGGAGTCTTCTCTTCTCATGAGATGGCCAAAGTATTAGAGCCTCAGCTTCAGGATCTGTCCTTCCAGTGACCACTCAGGGTTGATTTCCTTCAAAATGGATAGGTTTCTTCTCCTTGCAGTCCAGGGGATTCTCAAGAGTCTCCTCCAGCACCACAATTCAAAAGCATCAGTTC